CAGACACAAATCCACACATTTACAATTGATCTTCAACAAAGGTAGCAAAACTTCACAAAGGGGAAAGGACAGGAAACTCTTCCATAAATAGGTTTGGAAAGCTAAAATTCCACATATGGAATAATAAAATAAACCCTTTTATTATGCAAAAGTCAAGTCAGAATGGATTAAAGACTTGAAACTACTCAAAGAAAACATAGGGAAATAATCTTCATGTTGGTTTGGCCAATGACATTTTGGATATGATCCCAAAAGCACAGGCAATGAAAACAAAAAAAAAGGGACTGTGTCACACTAAAAAGCTTCTGCACAGCAAAGAAAGCAACCATCAGAGTAAAGAGACACCTATGGAATGGGAAAAATACTAGTTGCAAGCCATTCGTGTTAGCTTTGCATTACTGTAATAAAAATACCTGAGATAACCAACTTAAGAACAGGAAATGTTTGTTTTGGCTCACAGTGTTAGCAGTTTCAGACCAAAATTTCCAAAATAAGCTGGCCTCGTTGCTTTCTGGGCCTATGGCAAGGCAATACAATGTGGCAGGAGAGCCTGGTGGAGGTGGCCCATTCACCTCATGGACAGGGGAAAAAGGAAAGTAGAGGCCAGTATCCCACAATCCCCTTCAAGGGCACACCTCCAGTGACCTCCCCCCCAGTCCCACCTCTTAAAGATTCCACCCCTCCCAACAGCACCACAGGGTGGGTACCAAAGCCAACATACACCTAATAAGAGATCAGTACCCAAAATATAGAAGGGAGTCTAACAACTTAACAGCAAGAAAAGAAATAACCTCACTTAACAACGGGCAAAGGACTTGAACAGATATTTCTCTAAAGGAGACATAGAAATGGCCAACAGATAAATGAAGAAATGTTTAACATCACTACCTTGTCAGGGAAATACCAATCTAAACCACAATGAGGTATCATCTCTCACCTGTTAGAATGGCTATTATCAAAGACACGAAGGATAACAAGTGCTGACAGGGATATGGAAAAAAGGGAGCTCTTGGTGGGAATGTAAATTGATACAGCCACTGCGGAAAACGGTAGGGAGGGTTTTTTAAAAAATTTAAAATAGACCTTCCATTTGACTCAGAAATCACACTTCTGGATACATATCCAAAGAAAATGAAGTAAGTATGTCAAAAAGACATCTGCACTCCCATGTTCATTGCAACACTTATTCACAATAGCCAAGATGTGGATTTAATCTAAATGTCCATCAACAGATGAATGTTTTTTAATAAGTGATACTGATATATACACACAATGGAATATTATTTGCCTTAAAAAAAGAAGGAAATCCCATCATCTGCAATGGTAATGGATGAACCCAGAGGACTTCTGCTAAGTGAAATTAGACAGGCACAGAAAGACACTGCACAATCTCACTTACACACGGAATCTAAGAAGTTGAATTCACAGAGGCAAAGAACAGAATGGTGGTTTCCAGGGACTGGGAGGTTGGAGAGCTGGAAAGATTTTGGTCAAGAAGTAAAACATTTCAGATATGCAAGATGAGTAAGTTCTAAAAAATTAATTTGGATACTTATTTCATACCATGTACAAAAACTGATTCAAAATGGATTAGAGACAAACATAACATAACATATAGCTCAATGATTATAGTTAATATTACTGCATTGAATACTTGACATTTGCTAAGACAATAGATCTTTAACATTCTCACCACTAAAAAGGTAACTTTATGAGGTGACAGATGAGTAAATTAGCTTGAGCATAGTAACATCTCACAATATATATGTAAATGAAAACATCACATTGTACAACATAAATATACACAATTTTAACTGTCGATTATATCTCAGTAAAGCTGGAAAGAAGGAATTGACAGGTCAGTATCTGCATGAACCATCTCTGGAAAACTACACAATAACTCAGGAAGAGTAGTTTACAGTGCCAAGTGGTAGTGGGAGGATAAAGGACAGACATGTGAAGGAGAATCTTGTCTCACTGCATGTTTGGGCCTTCTAAAGGCCATGGGCATCTTTTAACTATTCAAAAATGAATAAAAAGAACTCCTTGCCTAAAAACAAATTGTGGTCCAAAACACAGTCCAGCTGCAGCTAATCTTGCAGCCTAGGGGAGTAAGGAAATTTGTATTTCTCAGTTGAAGGCAACACCCTGACATGACTTTGCATGTGAAAAAGAAGGTCACAAAGATGTTCTGAAAAGGAGAGGAGAGAGTTAATTTTGCAGTATATCACAAAGTGAAAAGAACTGTGTTTCTGAGGGCAGCTCTGGAGACAGAGGAGAGAAAGAGGCAGGAAGAGAGAGGCGCCCAGTCACATGCAGAAGGTCTGACGCTAACAAGAGACTTCAGAGAGAAGTCCTCTATGGCAGGGAGTACCCATGAGATTTCCGGGAACCATGCTATCCCAAGGATGTCTCCTGCTGTGTTCTACAAATTCCACGGATCCCACCCCCCAAAACATACTAACCCTTGAACTGGCAATGCAAGTCTATAATGCGTAATAATGTGTTGCGCTTTGGAGAAAAACGGTGTCCTGAATGGGACCAGGCAGGCTACCAAGAGGCAGGACGGCAGGCGACAGAACCAAGGGAGGATGGCCAGAGCAAGGACCGGTGGTGACCTTGGGTGCAGCGCAGGCTGAATGGGAAATGCACTCCCTGAAATCGCATAAAAGGGGGGTGGGGTTCCTAAAAATTACGGATGCAGTTTCAGTACTTCATTTGGACACAATGATCCCAGAAACCTAGCAGGCTTGGGTTATCTGTTACACACTCACTTATTTGGGAAGCAAATTGATAATCTCCATCTCTTCCCTTCTTTCTGTTTTTACCCTAATATTTTTTAAAAGAGAAATTAGCTAAACATATAAAATGTCTTAGGTTTTGACCTAGCTGAAGGCAAACACAGACCAATGGCTGAGTAAGCCTGCCTGTCTTTCCCTCTGACACCTGAGAGAAATAGTGTCTCCTCCCTCCAACTGGGTAAATAAAGGTCAAAGATGATCCAACCCAGGCATATGTGATTTAAGTCAAGTATGCTGTTCTCCACTCTCGTCTGTAAGTCCCTCCAGCTTAACCAAATCCTAAACACATGCTCTCCCTGAACCTTAGACCTTACCCTCCACCATGCATCCTTGCTGGAACTCAGCAGCAGCCCCGAAAGAGATCACACGCTGACCACAACACAGATAAGAACAGGCTCCTCGCAGATGTGATAAGGCCTCACACTCGCTACAGAAAAGTCTCTCCTCACAACAAAGGCAAATATAAGTCTTTACTGTTCTCCTCTCCACTTTATAAACTTCCTACTCACTAAACTTTCCTGCACCCTTTCCTATGATAAATCCTTACAGATCCAGCCCCTCAAACCCAAGAGCCCTTCTCAAAACACTCCCCCCACCCCCCGTCTCTCCTCCCAAGGTGCAGCCTCTTCTCTGCCAAGACAAGCAGACATAACAAAGACAGCTCTGTTTCCCCAGACCTGACAGCCCAGTTTCATGACCCGTACTCACTGACACACCACTCACTGGGCCAGGACTCCACAAGCCCACATCCGGGCTTCCACCAGTCATTCACAAGGCAACCACAGCCCCAAGCCATGATGGCCTGAGCCCCTGGAGACCAGTTGTAAGGGAGGAACTCTAACCCCAGGGAAGGAACCTTTCATGTGAGCCCATACCAGGGAGCTATTTTAGGTGCACACATATATATTAGACAAAGTCCCTTCCAGGATGTGGACTCTGTCCTCTCGTTGAGCATTGGGACCACAAACCATTTGCATTTCACTGGAGTCAGTATTTGTTTGGCTTCCTCTCATCACTGTGTATTGAGATTGGTGTAGTTCAGTTTCTGCATCTGCCCACAGCCACATGACCCCCACAGTCAGGAAGAGAACACACTGTGGACACACTTCCTATAAGAACCCTGTGGAACATGCAGCTCAGCCCAGCCGTGAGCTCTAGGCCCAGTTGGAGAACTTTTACTGCCTCAGCTCAAACAAATTCTCCTCTACCTACTGGCACCTTAGTGTCCCAAGTTTTGTCCATTCTTAATTCCCAATATCCTCACTCAAAATTTGGGAGAGAAAAGACTCCAAGGCCTAGAAGCAGAAACGTATCTAAGCCCTGGAATGGGATTCAGACTCATCTCCTCTTCTATCCTAAGACAGTTTGTCCCAGTCAGTGGACAACACGGATCTCAATAGGGCACTTAGGGGGAAAGCCCTGAATGGCACCAGATTGAGAGGAAAAGCCACCACCCTGACCCCTATTCATCTATCCCATGGATCGCTGCTTTCCAAATACCACCTATTTCTCTCCTAAGCCTCCAATTCAGGCACAATTCACAACCTTCTAGGAAGAAACAAAATAACTGTGTTCTCTATTGCAATAATACATAAGATCACATTTACCTTTTGCCAAGATCAGAGCAGTCCTTAGAGAATTTTCCTTCCCTTCCACCTACCCCTCACCAACAGAGTTTGATTCCTTTGAAACACCATCTGGGAGAAATCATCAGCACAAACATTTAAAGCTCCAATTCATAAAAAGGCAAAAGAAAGGCAGCACAGACACCCAGACTCTACCGGTGACTCGGCAAATGCTTTGGGAGACAAGAGTTATCCAAAAAAGCATACCTAAAACATACCCCAAAACACTCTTGCTGGCTCCATCTCATTCCTCCCCTCAAGAGGATTCTGACTTGTCTACACAGGCATCAGTGAGAAAGGAGAAGAACAAAGTGAAAATTTGATCGCCCTCCCACAGGAACTCAGGTGAGATGGATGACGCACAGATGTTCGCTGCTTTCTCAGAGGCATAAAAAGGCCAGGCGACAAATCATCCAAAGCAGAGTGAAATTTTGGGGTGTGATCCCATGTGTCTCGGGACCCCGCACTGAATACAAGGGCACTCTATGCAGAGTTGGAACCTTTGACTTTTATCTGCTGGCCCACAAGTACCCAGGGGAACAGGCCTGGCCTGTGTCTTGTGAAGGTCACATACCTTAGAAGGTTGAAGCTCAGATCAAGCCTCTTTGCAAAATGTCCACAGTCCCTGCCAAGGTGTTCTGGAATTTCTCTGCAGTCTTGGCCTATGTAGGACACCTGGAAATTAAATGAAACAGAAACAATGTGGCAAACAGAAATTACCCAGCTGTTCACAACCAGGAGTCACTGGTTGGAGGATTGCTTCCACAACTTTAAACACAGGCTCCTTGCACACAAAAAGACTACATAGTGACTGTTTTCCTGATCTCATCAGTTTTGGGGGTGTCAGAGATGCTGCCAACTTCTCCCCTTTCCTGCCATAGTTAATGTGATGGAGATTTTCCAAGCATAATCGAAATTAGACTAAAATTGGCCAGATTTGGGTGTGCAAAAGAAACCCCAACATCAGGGCATGTTGATAAACTCATTACATTCAGCCTCTCACTCAGGGGCCTTTCCAATAGCTGCTCCTTGGCTCTCCTCCCTCTCCTGACTCTCCATCACCCCATAATGCACACGTCCTCAAAGAGGGCATAGTAGATGCCCCCACCGGCATTCAACCTCCAGGGTTCTGGAGCAAATAGGATTCGGCAAGAAAACCTCCCCAGACCACCAATCCCATCCCCACTATGTATACAATGTCATCCACACTGCAAACAAAGCTGATTCTAAGGTGACATGGCAGCAACATGTGACCAGAGCTTTCAAGTATCCTCTTCCACCAGCAGCCTTTTGCTATCAACCTGTCTCTGCTGACACAGCTGTCTCCTTAGGCATTCTTTGTATTTCTATTTTTATTGTGCTTATTTATTTACTTAAAGTGCCTCATGTGTGCCCAGATAAGAAAAGGCCAAACTGAATTCTGACCCCAGAACTTCAGGTTAGGAGAAGATTGGTAGGCCCTCTCATCACCACAACCACCTGCTTTGGGAAACCCATTTTCACAGTGCTGCCCCACAACAGGACAGGCACCTAATTTCGACACTGGAAAAACACACCTATAGGTCAGAGATGGCCCATGGGCCACCATACAACCCTAAAGAACCCACCTTCAATCCCACATAGAAATTCAGCCCATCACAAGCCAACAACCTTGTTTCCCTACAAATCTACATTCTTCTATGCAGACAGACCAAGATGTCTTGAGAGAGAGATTTCCCCAGAGCGTTATGTTTCCTAATGGAGAAGAAAAACATGGTGGCCCTCTCTTATCCTCATTATGTGGACCAATATCCAAACATTTTAGACTATAAAATAGAACTTTCACATGACTAACCCCAAGGTAAACCGCAACACACCCTAGCACCCTCCATTTATGAAGCTGTCGCTTATCCCTCCCTCCCTGATCCAATGGGGACAAACTTCTGACAATACAATAGCCTATATCCACTCTCTTCCCATTCACTCTCCTTCAGTGACTTCACCCCAGGGGGAAAGAAAGTGGGGAGTAGCTAGCTGCAATAAAATAATTTTGACTCGGGAAGATACAAGCTAAAAAATAAAGGGGTCTAAGTCCAATCTAGCAATCTCCCCTTTCTACATAAGACCCATCTTTCTTCACGGTTCCTGTGTAATAAATTAAGTTGCACTTCCAAGCTGCGGTGGAAATCATACACCAAGGAGAGAGCTGGGATATGAGTTCCCAACCAATCTAGAGACTTATGACTCCTTGAGGACATCTATCTTCTCACTCAGTAGCTTCTTATTTATTATAAATTCATGTTGACACTCAGGTATATAGGGCTCACTCAAGAACCCATCCCATTCCACCAGCCTGTATAGATCAGCATCACTCAAGACCTTTGTGTCACACACAGCAGAGAAGCCGAGTCGTGAACAAAACAAGTCGAACCCTCACAGATTAACCAGGGACTACACCTAATAGAGACCCAGCTTGTCTAACCCTTTATCCTTTACACAATGAAGTTAGACTACAGAGATCTGTTCAACATAACACAGCAGTTTTTTTGAGGCAGGGTCTCACTGTGTAATCAAGGCCAACCTTGAACTTGCTATATAGCCCAGGCTGGCCTCCAACTCATGATCCTCCTGCCTCAGCTCCCAAGTGCTGGGATTACAGGGGTCTACCACCGTGCCTGGTCGAATAGATCCTAGACAGCAAAGAAGCAGGAGCATATCCAGGACATTTAGTCAGTTATCTTGATTTACACTGAACTGAACCAAATTTCAAACTTTTAACTTTCCTACCTCACATAATTCATACCCCAAGACTTCCAGCTTGTGTGGAATAACAGGAAGGAACATTATTACCAAGCAAAGGAAATTAGATGAAGTAAATACTCCTACAGAAAGGAACACAAGAGAGGGAACTGAGAAAGTCTAGAGAGGAAGGACCCCACCCATGTACACACTAGGCCCTCGGACAGAAGTTGCAGAAGATCAAACTGCAAAGGACTGCAGGCTTCCCAGTGCCATTAGGGCAGTCATTTCCAGGGCCTTTCTGGACATGACAGATTTATCAGTAATCAGAATAAGGGGAGCTTATGTTATGATACCCACCCCTAACCAGGGGTGAGGGATTCTTCATACCGTATTTGCATTACCAAAGCTCTGTGACAGTAAAAACAGCCCTAGGTACAAAGTTTGTGACCCTGTGCTACTTACTGGCTGTTTTATCTTTGGTGAGTCACAATCTCCTGGAGTCTGATTCCCCTTTTGTAAATTAATCTAACACTGTCTGCCCCCAAATAGTAAGGATAGTGTAAAACTAACTACAACCACGTGTCCAACATCTATTTAAGCCCAAAGAAACCCTTTGTGAATCACACATTATTATCCCCATTTTACTTACATTATAAAAATGATATATGAAAAGCACACACCCTGGCCCTTCATACCTAAGGATTGCTCAGTAAATAGTGATTAAATCAGACCAATATCCCTACAGAAGAAACTGGTTATTTCCAATGTCTCTTGAGAATAAAATTTCAGTGCCCAAAGTTCAAGTTTGCATTTGTGTCTAAAACTGATGCTGGGATTGTGTCATGCTTTCATGAAAAAAGAATAGAGGCCTTAATGCTGAATGTAAACAGTACAATTCAAGCCAAGAGAAGTTCAATGAAGTCAGACCCATGTTGAAGGAGAAGACTTCACAAGGAAACACGATAGAGGACTGTAGCCTTACCATGCATGTGGGGTTGGCCTCGGACCTCTGAGAAACTGCCCTGCAGCAGTCAGCCTATGGAATCATGGAAAGCAGTGATCTAGATTCAGCCAAGCATCCATCTCATTAAATTGTTTATTTTAACTTTATTGGGGCTTTTTGTCTTTGTATTTAAACTATCCCTTTACTTGGTATTTACAGCTCTCTAAATGTTGAGAGTTACATCTGGTTTTTTGTTTGTATATTTTAGTAATATTCCAATAAAAACCATACCAATGTTGTTTCTCATGGGAAGCTTTCCACCCTTTCAGAAGGATCTATCTTCTTAAATAGAATAATGGTTGCTGGAGGATGAGGAAGGGGAAGAGGGTGGTTAACAGGTAAGACCTGTAGTGGGATAAGAGGAATAACTTCTAAAGTTCTATATAGCACAGCAGGGTAACTATGGTTAATAACAATTGTGTATTTCAAAACACTTAAAGGATTTTGAAAGTTTGTAACACAAAGAAATAAGGGGTCAGTGGCTGAAAAATGGATATACTGTCATCTGATCAAGACACACTGTATATATGCTTTGAAATACTACATTGTACCCCATAAACAGTATAATTATTATGTCAAACTTAGAAAAAAATTTTTTTTAAAAAAAGAACAATCTACCCAAGTCTGAAAAGTTCCATGCCACATACGTTCAAGATGCTCCCTCTTTCAATAGCTGCCGATAACTTTCAATAACTTGCCTGGGGTAAAATGTTAATAAATATATGTACCACTTTGGTCCCGGCATGGGGCACTAACATCCAGGGCCATTTTCCCAGCCTGCCTTTTTAGCTGCCCCCCTCCCAGGCAGGCTTCTTAAGACAATCCCCAAGGACCCTAAAATGTTTCAGCCACACTTCATGAGTGTCCTTAAACTGTTTGGAGTAGGTTAATGGCAGGAGGTACGTGAAACAAGTTTCGGAAATGGGGAAAGGAGGCCTGGAAAAGTTGTGGAACCCACTGTCAAGTCCTCCATGAACACGGAAGAAGCTACATGCAGAAAATGTTGGGACTTACAATGTAGCCCAACCTAGGGTCCTTCTTAGTCAGATGCCTACAGGAAAGGCCCAGGCCCTCACCCTCAGACCTTTCCTCTAGGAAATCAAGTTCCCCTCAGAAGCTCTTTTCTCTGGGGTAGAATAAGCATTATTTTTAACCACCCTTGAAGGCTGGGCTGGCCTGGTTTGCTCACTCTGAAATCTGGACCAGACCTCTCTTCACAGCCTGAGGCTGGGGGCAGAGGTAGCAATCCATGAAACAAAACTGTCAAAAGGCCAGGGCAGAGATACACTGGAAGGGCTTAAGGTATAACACCACCTGGAACAGGGTCTGTTGCATAGTAGGCCCCCAGTAAACATGTGTGACTGAGAAAATGACAAGACTCCAGAAAAAAGGAAGCGGGCAGCAGCCAGTCCAATGGAATGCCCTGCTGGGATGCATCTGACAGGGTTGTAAGACCACAGACCTCTAATGGGACTCATTCCCTGTAGCCCAAAGTCATCTCAAAATCCAACTATCCCTGACACTACCTGCCTCAGGCAATCCAAAGGAAGAGCTTCAAAAACTCAGAACTATCTCTTCAGGGTGTGTGGAGAAAGGCCGGCAGTGGGAGGGCCAGCTTAATCCGGGAGGCAGAAGAGGTTAAAGATAAACAGGTCTGAAGTTTCCAGCAGATACAAGACGCCTGGTCCTAGCCTGGCTGAGTTCACCACTCTAGCACTGACTGAAAACACCTGAGGCTTCCTACAGGGCTGAAGGCCCAGGAGGCTGGGTGTCTATCATCCTGGGTTGGAACTGGAGTGTTGCATTCCCCACAGATGACTGTTCACGAAACCTTGGGGAGCAAAGAAAATAAGAGCCGGACCCTGGCTAAGGAGCCCACCTTTATCGCAGACCCATCGGCAACACCCACCACCACCACCAACCATGCATTGTGATTTTCACTGACTTTGGTGGCCCTAGGCGCTTTCGCCTCTGTGGGGCCCATCCTCTATTTAAATATAAAAATATTACTTAATTCTATTTTACAACTGCACTGGTATAAAGATAAGTAAAATGTTACACATTAAAACTTTTTTCTTTGATCAAAAGTTCTTTTATAAATTTGGATTGTGAAAGAAGAGAAGAATAAAACACTGTATGTGGGAGCCCTTGAAGTCTGGGAGAGAGAAGTTGATCGCTTAGTGAGACACTAGAGACAGTGGGGTGGCGGGGTGGGGAGACAGGGAAACCCCTGTCCCCACACAGCCAGGGAGCGTGCGGTGCAGGGGGCTCCGTCTCCCCCACACTCTGTCCACCTGCGCACGGAGCACCCCGGAGCTGGGGCGCGGTGGAAGCCTGGAACCCCGCAGTCCCTCCCCACCCCGTTGTACCCGGCGAGGGCGAGCTCCTTCGGGCGGACTTACTTGAGCTCCACAGACCACGAGCCCAGCCATGGTGACCCGGGGAGGCGGGCGCGAGGCACTGAGCAAGGTGGCGACGGCGGCGGCGCAGAGCGCAGTTCCGCACTGGGCGGTCAGCTGACCCGACGGAAGCGCGGGCCGTTCGAGTCTGCGGGGTACGCGCTGCACCCCCCGGGACGTCCGCCAGCGCAGGACCCGGAGACCCGGGGAGCCTCGGCCGCCCACCGCCGCCGCAACAGGTGGCCTTGTGCGCGCCGCGCCCTGGGTAGTTGCCGGGACTCCGACCTCCCCGTCCCGCCCCCTCCCGGGTGGCCCAGGGCTCCTTCGCCCCACGAGGTGTCCTGCAGACTTCCAGGCCCACAACTTTGCTGCGTTGGCCGGGGCCAGGCGTGGTGGGGGGGGGGGAGTAGCATCGGAGGCGCCCCGTCCGAGCCGTTAGCTGGGAGCTTAGAGTTTTGCTTTCCTAAATTACACAATCTAGGTTACATAACTGCACTCAACGGCCTGGAGGAGGGGCCTCCGGACCAAAGTTACCTCCCCAGGTTTGGCTGAAAGGACTCCTGGTGCAGTGGGGGGGGGGGGGGGGTTGTTCCTATTCAGTAAATAAAATGCGGGCTGGGCTCAGGGACCCCCTCACCCTGCCCACTTGGCCTCTGGCAGTTGACAATAATGAACCCTAGGGAAAGAGAACTAAATGAATGATGTCTCTAAATGTCAGGCTTCTCTTACTCTGAGGTACACAGTCAGTACTCCATTTATAGGGAAATTCAACCCCTCCCACCCCATGGAAAGCATACTGCACCAGGAATCCTTTATGATGTTTGTGAGACTCAAGGACCACACACACACAGAGACACAAAACCTTCCTATCAGAAGGAGATCAAGTGGCCGTTGCTGCCTCAGCCTGGATGAAATGCAGCCCCATGTTCAGGTAGCTCCTAAACTCATGCCTGTCCCCTTCTGAAAGGATCTAAATCTGCTCCCTTCCTGTTCTTGCCTTCCCCCCTCCACCCTCAGGAAGGGCAAAGCTACTACCAGACCCCGCTGGGCTGTCACCACCCACTCGCCATGCAGCTAAGGGTTAGCCCAGCCTTAGCCGTCTGGGAAACAGAAGGGGAGCGGGGGGAGGATACCTTTCCTCACCCATCATAAGGGTCAGGGCTGACACTCCTATGGCAAAAGCCAAGTTAACAAGAGAACATTTATTTAATCAAAGTTCTACATGACGTGTTATGGTTTATATCTAAATGTCCCCCAAAGTCTCATGAGTCAGGGAGCTTTGGGGAGGTGACTGAATCGCGGGGGCGTGATACTGATCCATGGCTTAGTCCACTGATGACTTCATAGCTGTGATGTTGGGAGGTGGAGCGTGGTGGGAGGAGGTGGGTCACTGGGGGCGTGGCCTGGAAGCCTGTATCTCCCTCTCTCTGCTTGCTGCTGCCCTGCCATGATCTTTCTCCTCTGCCCTAACCCCTCCGCCATGCCACCCTGCCTTGGAGCCAGCCGACTATGGACTAAAACCTGTACAAACTGTGAGCCAAAATAAACCTTTCCTCCTTAGAGTTGCAGGTGTCTGGTATTGTGTTTCAACAACGAGAAAGTAACTAAGACAACATGGGAGCATTAAGAAATGACAATGCGAAGATGTGGGAAAAATTGTCTTTCTGCTTAGGCTGGTTAAATAGACAGCTGTGTAGAAAGGGGTTGGGGAAAAGGGTAAGATGTACCTGTAACACACTGAAGGGAGAAACCCAGCAAGGCCTGTCCACGTTCTTGGTCTCTGGGTAGCAGCTTTCCTTCCTCCCAGGTTTGGGGCAGGACTCCTCTGGAATGAGGGCCTTCCAACCCTACCACCAAATAAGGCAGGTCAGAGACTATCTTTACAGCCAGCCCCAACCCAGAAAGATGGGCTAGAGTAATACTTCTAGGATTTATGGCTTGCTCTGGCAAGAAGGGGCTCTAATTTCTGTGACTCACCTTGAGAAGGAGGAATTCTGGTTTTGATGATTAGCTTCAGGGGAGAAGAAAGGAGATGTGAGACAGGAGAGCGGGAGAAAAAGACCAGAGATTTCATCTAAGACCTTCCAGTCTCCTTTAGTTAAAGGTATTCAGCATAACGAAGCACTGAACTTTGGGGTATCATTTGATGCCAGTGCTGGGGGACTTGCCCACCCTCTGTCTCCCCAGAGGAGTAGACCCAGCCAAGTGGAGCTGTGAACTTGCATACTTGAGTGTGTTTACTTCAGGGAGCTCCAGGAAATGCTGCAGCAAAAGGTCACCACAGGCCAAAAAAGAAAGCTTACCCTCCAGAGATAAGGGATCAAAGGGAGCCTTCCAAGGACCAGGACCAGGGTCCCCTCCTCCCTCCTTCTCTTCTGGATGCACCTTCTCTGTTCCATTGTCGGCTTGTGTTTGCCTTTCCTGCCTGAAAATGAGGAAGCAGGCGGTCTGCCCGACTGTCATGATAACCTGCCCTCCCCAGCCACCTTTCAACTCTGCCTTCCTCCAGGCTGTGACTGGTAGGAGAGGGCCATCGGAAGCACGGAAGCAGGCCCAGGCCTGCTGAGACAGACCAAATCAAAAGAGTGCCCTCCCCTGCCCAGCCAGGGGGCAATGCTGGCGGTCATCTCTCATGCCCCTGCCTCCACACTATCCAGCAGTGGCACCAAAGTGGGCATGCATCTCGTCCCCTTTCTAGCCCCCCTCATGGCTGTCCTCTCTTCCATGTAGCCCCAGGTGACCATTCTAGAGGCCCAGTTTCACCCCCTGTGAAAACTTCCAATGATTGCAGCTCAACTAATAAAACCATCCAAAATCTCTAGTGTAACCTCAAAGTCTCACAATCCCATCACTTCTCACCTCTGCAGCCTCCTCTCCTGCCTCTCGCATCCTCTGCTTGGCCTTCCCAGAGGTGCTGGTCTCACCTGGAAAGGCCTCCCAGCCCTGCCTGACTCCATTTCCATGAACAAACCAAAAAGGCCCATTGACTGGATGGGGAAACTACACAAAATAAAGTTAAGCGAGCTCAGATCGAGGTGGGCTGTAGTGTTTGCAACGTAAATGAATAATAGCAGGGAGCACCTGGGAGTTCTTGAGCAGAGTACTTGCCTTTGACTGATCAGGATGCTGCAACAAAATGCTACAAACCGGGTGGCTTATAGACAACAGAAATCTTATTTTTCACACTTCTGGAGGCTAAGAAGTCCAAGGTCAAGTTGCTGCATGTTCTGTGTGTGGCGAGAACCCACTTTCTGGCTCATAGTCAGTCTTCTGACTGTGTTCTCATACTATGGGAGAACTCGCTAACTCTCTGGGGTCTCTTTCATGAGGATACTAATCCCATTCAGAAGGACTGCACCTTCATGACCTAAATGCCTCTAAAGAGCCCCCTGCCTAATCCCATCAGCTTAGAGGTTAGGATCTTAGCATGAATGTTGGGGGGACGCAAACATTCAGGCTATAGCAGTAGTAGTTTCCTCAATGTATTTAAGGGAGATCCACAGAAACAAATCAGATTCACCCCTCCTTACTCCCTTAGCTTCCAGAGCTTCAGAAGAGAAGAATAAGGAGAAAGAAGAGAGGAAGAATAGGCTGGGAAGAGGAAGAGAAGGGAAGGGGAGGGGAGAAGCAGAAGAACCAAGAAAGATTGGAAGAGAGGAGAGAGACATCTTTCTACTTCCCCATCACTTTCTCAACAAAAAGGATAATTAAATAGAAACAATAAAGGTAGAGTTCTTTGAGTAACATAGACGGAAGAGAGCTAAGGAACCCCAAGATCAAGCTGGCCCAAGAGGTGGACAAATGGTCCCTTTGGGATTCAAGGACTGTCCAAGAGTGGACAGAGGAAACCAGTCCTGTTGGGGCTTCTTAGTAGACAAACTCACTCCCACCCCGGGATCACTGAGGGACAAGAAAGGCTCCTGCAGTCACCTGGGTTCTTCCTGGGTCCCTGCACCCCATTCTATGACGAACTATGTGAGCTGCAAGCTTCCCCTATCCTGCTCCATTCATTCCACAGTCTCTCTACCCCAGCTTCCAAGCTAGGCACTAAGGATATTCATGACATTCCTGAGCCTGTGAATCCTGGAGCTCTAGGGCCACCCGGAAAGTGAGAAGGGTCAGCACACACAACAGGATGCTTCCTTATCACCCTGGATGAAGGGGGCTGCATGGCAGTCCTACTGTCATCCTTGTCGTTGTTGTTGTTATTTTTTTGGCAGAGAAGGCCCTTTCCCTAAGAGTCCTTCCTCCACCACATTCCTGGGGACAAAAAGGAAGATCCTGTTTGTTTCCAATCAAGGCAGTTGATGCCCGGGTCAGCTAGACCAGCCAAACAGGAACCAAAGCCTGAAATCTTCCAACTCTGAGCATTAGCAGCTGAGAGGGAAAGAGCCAGTGAACCAGGTTTTCTTAGCAGTCCTGCTTGTCCATCGCTGAGTTTCTCTTTGGCCTGGACTCATTCCTTTTAGGCCCAGCCCCTGGGCAAGGGAACATGGTTGCTGTAATTAATCATATATATCCCTTGGTTCAGATTCACCACATTTAGATTTCAATTCTTTTAAAAACAATTATGTCTGCATATTAAATGCTCTTTGCTGCTCCTGCAGCCTCCTTTGAGCCTCAAAGTGGGAGTTTCAGGAATTCAGGAAAGAGGAGTCTTCCAGGGTCTCTCTGAACTGTTTGCGCACAGTGAAGAGACCAAGGATGATCCATGCTCCAAACACCTCCATTGTCTCCCAAGCAGAACAAATTGAATTTTTAAAAATGTATCCTGAATACCATCATGCTGTTTGGTATGAGTATTCGTTCCACAAATTCCAGTTTATTATTATTTACTATTATAATTATTAGTATTATTAATTCTCAGTACCTATAGTTTCCCTTCCCTTTGGGTCTTAAGAGGTTTAGTTATTTCCCTATTAAAATGATAACAGCAGAACAGGGAAGGGAATGGGTTTTGAGGAACAGGGCAGTGAAAAAGGGGCTTGTGCTTTTCATTCTGTTTTTTGTAATTTTTGTAACAGCCATATGCTACTTTTGTGATTACAAATAAGAAAGGAGATTGGCATAGAAGGGACAGAGAAAAAAAAATTAACATGGAAACTACTACCTGTTAATCTCTTAGCATTATTTTAACAAATCCCAAGAACAGCGATGAGAAACAAATCTTATTTCCTTGTTTGCCAGGAACTTGCAGAATGCTGTGAGTCTTCAGCTTAGTTCAGGACAAGTTAGCCCTGACTTGAAGGACAGGAAAGGAGAACAGGGCCTAGAAAACCTGCTCAACTGCATTTCCAGTGAAGCCATCTTTCCAGAAACATGGAGGGTTTCTACCACTTGGAAGTTGGGGGAGGCCTCCTGCCA